GTTACGATCGTAGAAGAATGAGTCAAACTAATAACAATGATTATCCCTCTAAATTAAACTCTTAGTTTAGCTAAATCGAGACAATAAACTTATCGAAGTATATATTATCATTTCTTAAATTATTTGAATTTCATTAAAGTTTATGCGAGCGATGATCTTTTATCGATCACTTTCAATCACGGGTTTAATTGATCCAGCCATCACCTTGCAGAGTGATTAGTCTGTATCTACAGAAAAGGCATAATTCGTTCGTCATTTTTTAAGGGTTAACTTTCATTTGTAATTATCGGTCAACAGGTAATAGCACAACCGACAAAGATTTAGACAATGTTTATCGCCTTCTGGATGCGGATCTGAGGCCATTGACGCCCGATCAAACTTGCGAGAGATCGAAAGAAATCTTCGAAGAGCACAAACAGCTTGCGCAAGAATATTTAAAGGTTCAAACGGAGATAGCGTTGTTGGGCCAACACAAAAATGAGATGCTTAAAAATTTGACTATAGACAGTTTAAGGCAACAAGAGGAACTCAGGAAACTTGAAGATGAGAAGGTGAGTCGATTCACAGGAGTCCGATGTAAAATTCATTCAGCACAGAGTGATTTATTTATAAATCATCAGGTTACTTGCAATGTTTCAATTGTGATTTTATACGAAAGAAAGAAAAACGAATTTCCGAAGTTTTTCAATTAAATATGTCTAAAATTTTCCTCTTTTATCGCACTTTCTCGAGATTTCGTTAATTCTTTAATCGTTTAAACACTTCTTGTGTTATGTTTTCTTCTCTTTCTCGATCGAGGGCAACAGATTAATTTAGGTCTACCTTATCGGTTACAGGAGTCCTTAATAAAGCTGTATCGAAATTTAAAACGCCAGTTAGAAATTATGAAGAACCAAAGAATTAACAATGCCCTATTGAGCAATGCTCAAGTGGGCCCGACAGTTTCCGGAAACAATGGGTGGTTTGTGGTACCTTGTCAAAATCCTTCGAGACACTCTTGAATATGCCGATTAGGCAAGTGTAAGCGTTTGAACGAGGTTCTTGTCTCTTTTTTTTTTTTTATACTACGTTTAGAAATTTCTCCTGATTTCTTCAGAGCGAACAAAATACGAAAGATATATTGATTTTTCTTGTGAATATAATGGGAATTCTTTGTAAAAAATATAAGTAGTTTACAGTAGATTTTATTGTATAGTTTACAAAGGTTAAAAAGTGAATCGAGTGATGCAGTCTTTTAAAACACCGTTCTTTTTTTCTGCATTTGATTTTAAAAATGTTTACCGAGTCTGCTACGTTTTTTTTTTTAGTGAACGAAATTGTATAAAAATTGATTTTATTACCAATAACACCATAAAATATAGGTATGAAAAGAAATATTGAATTAATTACATTGAAAATATCTGAAGTTGTAATTGTTGCTTAAATTGTAGGGAGAATAGTAAGTTGCGATTTTCCGTAGGCTGTTATGTGATTAAGTATGCAATGAAATATGTTTATGATTGTTAAGTCTGACTTTGCGCAGTTGTGATTGAATATGTCAAAATTTCGAGTGGTAAATATTTCTGTAACTACAAAATTAATATATTTGAAAATTATCGATCGGGAAACAACGATTAGTTAACCGCCTGCGATTTAGCGATTAGTACACTTATTTATGTAAGAATTAACATCGATAAGTAATTAAGGATGTATCGTATCGTTACCTTTGCTATCTAATTTGCCATTATACATACTTATTTGTCATTGCAATTAATTTGTACAGTCAGTTACATATTTAATAACTGGCGTAATTATAAAGTATTAATTATTGTATTTAATTAAACACTGATATCTCACTTGTTTACAATCGAATTTTTATTTTCAGCGATAGCTTTATTAATACGAATTGACTTTTAGAATTGAGCTATCGTAACTAAACAAAAATCTATACCTTGATTAAAGGTTTGTTTCTTTTTAAAAAGGATTGCTAAACATTATTTTTGCTTACAAATTTTATATATACATATATTTAGTAAATATATGCGATCTTTCCTTTTTATTTCCTTGTCTTTAATAAGTACTTAATAGTTTCATATGTTCTTTCTTTTTGAAATGGTAAGTAAAACAGTCGTTTAGAAACTGGTTGAATCTAGATAATTTACATTCTTTATCACTAATAGATATTCGAAAAGTATTTGATGTATTAGTGTTTAAAATACAAATTTAAAAAATTAAACATAAATTTAACACATAAATGAATTGTAAGTTGTAATAGTAGCTTAAAGAAAAAATATATGATTAACACATAAGTAATACAAATCGCTTGTTTCGTGTCCTTACTTTAATTTTTCTAAAAATTCATGGAAATCAACGTGCTTTTCGATTTGCCCTTTTGCAATTTTATGCAAAATACATTGTATCTTGCAATTGGCAAATATTTTATTCTCAGAAACGTTGAAAATTGTAATTTTTATAACGTAAAAATTGTATCAATCGTAGCCGAAGTTTGTTCAGAGCAATAAAACACACATGGGTCTGACCGTAAACGTCGCTTTCTACTGTCAACCATGACATTTCCGCAGACACAATTTCATGGCCGATAGAACGATCAATTTCGTAATATACGCCACAGTTAACAATTCTATCTTTATCAATGCTTCCATACAAATAACGTTTTCCACTATTTATTCTCTATAAAAGAAAGCGTTGAAAATTCGTCCAAATAAATACAAAAAGAAAAGACTGATTTACGATACTTTCTGCACACGTTGTTCATATCCCGTTACGGCTATCATATAATACAAATGAAAAGCTACAGTCACATTCGAATTTATTATTTCCAATCGGGTGACAAAGTATCGTTTGTCTGGCGCGTAAAATTCCACCGATTCTTTTTCCCTTTTTCACGAATATAAATTAAACGCAATATCTGTAATTTCCCCGACGTCAAGCGTTCACTTTAATTACGATGTCTATTTCCAAACAAGAATATAAAACACATACATATATACCGTAATTACATGAATCATCCTTGTTTCTTATCGAAGAATAAGGCCGACACATTGTCTACAGCGAGGGCAATTCGATTATTAAACGTGAAACGTGTATCTCCGTATTTTAGTCGTCGATCTTTAATCCGACCAGCGTCTAAAATACATATGTACGCGTTCTTCGTCGCGGCATAACGACGACGGTTCATTCAGAATGTGAAATTCGCAAAATTCTCTCGTTCTCTATCACCAAAGGCGCGCGCGATACAATCTCCTCAGATTCTCCGTTCTTCGAAACAGGATTACGTGTCCCAGAGGTGTCGCTTGAAAACCACCGGGTCTGCTGTTGCGGGCCACAAAAAGGAAAAGGGCGGAGAAGTGTGCGGTGGACACGCGATAAAGGAGACAACGTTCTTCGGTCCTCGATAACGCAGAAAAACGTTGAACGTGCGGGATGCGCACGCACCCATCGCAACCACCATACATGCATGCCGCTGGTGGGGTTGTAAAGGGGTGAAAAACGGAAGCCCGGTTAGATAGGAAGGGTGCAGTCGCCTCAGACGTCTGCTCGATCCTACTCTCACGTTGAGCCTTCCCTTTAAGCTTTCCGTTTAATTCTCTGTTCCACTATTCGATTCTTCCCCCCTTTTTCTCAACGACCACCCCTGCGATGGCTTTGGACGCGGACGAGAAAAGCTACATCCTGGACGCGAGGAACAATTACGAAGATGTAAGTAGTCGAACGATGATATTCATGCATCGGTTACTCTAGTAATAAATCACTGTTGTCCTTCGGTCCTTCCGTTACTCGGGGGAACATGGTGGTCGCGTAATTAACGCGGCGATTGTTTCATGGGTTGGTTAATTTGATTACGAAAGGGAGGATTTTGCGTAATCCGGTTTTGTTTTAAAGTGACTACGCGCGACGAGATGGTTTCGAGGTCTCGTTAGGTGTGCTGCTTTTTGGGGTTGGATTAGTGCAATTGGAACGAGTGAGAGGAACCCTGTTTGTTTCAGCAGAGATTGATGAGAGAGAGAGAGAGAGTAGAACTGATTAGAGGAGGGTTGATCGTGATATGAAGGACAGAAGTCGTTCGGTGGAAATAGATTGAAAATCGGAAATTGGAAATGTGTTTGGCTTTTTGGCAATAGTGGCGGAAAGTAATTTGCTTTCGGTCGGTTCGGAGATGGAATTTCAAACTTTCGATTTGTCACTGAACATTCCAGACAAGTTTTCTTCCTTTTTTTTTTTCTTTTTTCTTTATTTCCCTTCCCGTCACCGAGAATTGTTTGTACCGTGAGGAAAGTTTTACGTAAGGGGATGGATAATAAAGTTTCCTTGGATTTGTTACGACGTACGTATCCTTCCGAAGTTGTAATCAGTTCTCCAAAGGGAGGAAAGTCAGAATTTCGTTTCTTTTTATTCAAAGTTTATTCCACTTCGTACTGCTGTGAACAAAGGAGAAAAATCTATAACTCATCAAATATGTATACATGCATATACGCATTCCCTTTTTTACGTATTTCTTTCTTTACCTGCGTTTTCCGCGTTGATATTATTTTCCGTCGTATATACGTACGCTACGAGTTTTTATCGTTTTATTTTTAACCACACTGCGGCGATATTTTCGGAATGTTTCGGGCTATTGTCCTATTTACGAAGGAAAGAGAGTAATTGAGGATGTCTAAGAGATAGGGAATGATGAAAAATTGGATAGATATATATAAAGAGAACGCGTAAAAATACATTTCTTCGATTATTAATAATTTTACAGAATTTACAAAGTTTCCTCTCTTCCATCATAAACAATACGTTGATATTTAGTATATCTATATATTGTATTTAGTTAACGTGTGTAATTATACACGGTTTAACGAACCTTCTCTTGTTCATTCATGTTTCTCGGAACTTTTATAATTGTACAACAATTTGTAAGATTATAGGTTCTCGAAAGTTGGGTTCAATTGCTGGTCGTATGCATATATATAATAAATTGAAAATTTCATTTCAAACTTTTGTTTTTTTTTTCTTTTTAACTCAGCCAGACAAATTCACTACGATGTTGTTCAATACACGCAATATCGAAGTCTTTGTTTTTCGTTCAATTGGTACATTCGTGTGGACCGTTTTCATTCGGAGCTACCGAAGCAGGACGTTTGATGAAACAAAATTTAATTAACGATTTAAAAGTAATTGAATTTCGCTGAAATTAGACGTTCGAAAGAAGAATGTTTATAATTATCCCCCGAAGTCCTGCAACACATTTTTCCCTTAAGAATATTGCTCGAAAGAATGTCATTACGGCGGAATTTTGCAAGCGTGACGATCCCACCATGATTAATATTTAAAATGTCAACCCTGTTGTTAATTTTCACTTTGAACAGGGCGGCAGCCTCGGTTCAGAGGAATCTTACGATGACATGCGGCAACTTGTCGGGGTAAGAAATTTAATTGGTTAATTAAAGTTCATGTTTAATCATCTTTCGTTTCTGCCCGAGTTAAATAAGCAAATGCATGAATTTTGCATGGATTAGTTAACACTTTTCTGATATACGAAGGAGAGAGTAGTTCAAATGTTTTTATTCGATGTACGTTAGTTTAAATAAAGACAAAAAAAGTAATCATATAAAGTGCAAAAGAAAAAAAAGAAATCTATATGAGTGTGTAGTTACGATATTAATTAATTAAAACTGGAAACGTTGGAAATCAATCGGTAAAATTCAACGGGTATGAATGAATTCGCAGTACAATGGCGTTTCTATTATACGAATTCCCATTAACCGAATACACTACACGTTCAACATCGTGCTAACAGATTTTACCAAAAGGTTTTTTCGTACAGCTGCGTTCCACTTTTTTAAGATAGAAACGTTTTATCTAACACGATACAATGGTATGCAACTGTAGAGAATTCGGATGAAAATTACAAGTTTTTGCATGATAAAACATTCTGTTATTTAAATTATTCAATTTCCTTTTATTAATTCAAGTAATTAGTACTCTATTGCGTTTTTACTGCTTGCAAAATTTTCCGTTCAATAGACTGTTTAGCGTGCATATTAGAACAAAATTAGCTATATTTAATTTCGTTTTCTTTTCATATTGCAAAAATTTCTAACGCAGCTAATCCATCGAATTACATTCAACAAACAGATTCGCAAAATGTATCAATACTAGTTTCTTTCCTTCTCATTTGTCTTCTATTGCAATTTGTTCTTTCATAGATGTAAATAAAAGATGATTTTATAGGAGAAGGAAGAAGAACCCGGAAAATTCAATAGCCTACCGTTGGCCAGTTTTAACTTCATCAATTCCATTATCGGCAGTGGTGTCATTGGTAATTCGAATACCTTAATGATCGATAAAATAATAATCCTTGAAACACCGAATTAATGTGCAAAATAATATGTACAATTTGGTTTTCCTTCGATATACAAATATGTATTTCGTATACACAGGATTCGCATGATAATTTATAATTCTTTTGGATGAAAATTTATCATCACAACGGAATGTCCTATTTTTACTTGATTGCATATACATATATATGTATAATTAACTTATATAAATACTGACAATGAGTGGGCTGTTGCCGAATATCAAACACCTTGAAACGTACTTGACACTTTTCATTACCGATTCCTTTGCTACTGAAATTTTAATGATCCCTTCATCCTTTTTTTGCACAGCTTCGTATATCCGATTTTTCCGATATAACATTTCGAGATACGCTCGTGCATACATATTGCAAACGCGACATCTTCTATGCATAGAGGCACGCACATGTATTTATACATGGATGATTATAGTCTTTATGGGCGATGTCAGGAACCTTGGCCTTCTTTAAATTCAGGGATTCGTATCAGTTTTATTTTTTTATTCTTTTCTTTTTCAGGGGAAGTTGTTGGCTCGATGCCCACTCCCTTCCGATCATTTCGTATGACGAATGATTCATCAGGGATCGCCTATTTAAACGGTGAACGTGTTCGATCGGTTGAAACGGATAAAACGAACGGAACGGAAAAGAACATTTCGTTAGAAATAATACACTTACGATCGAATTATTTGATTAATGAAATTATTTGTTCACCAGTAATGCAGAAAAAGAGATATCTTGCGATCCATTGTATACTTCAATTGTAGAAATTAGAAGAGAGAATACTTACGAACGATTCTAATTAGATTTCTTTCTTTTTTTTAATAAAGCAAGGACTATTTCGGTGTTTAAAGGACGATAATTATTTGGAATCGTTGGAAAGAAACGACGAAACAATTAATTAACATTTTTCAGGCATACCCTATGCACTACATCAGGCTGGATTCGGCCTGGGGATAGCATTATTAGTAGTGGTGGCAGGCCTCACCGATTACTCTTTAATTTTAATGGTTAGAAGTGGCCACATCTGCGGAGAAATGAGTTACCAGGGTTTAATGAGGGCCAGTTTTGGTCGTCCAGGATTTTATATTCTTACAAGTTTGCAGTTTATGTATCCATTTATAGGTAAATACAGTTTTCACAACTTCAAGATCCTCTGCTAACAAAAGGCGATGAAAATGATCGATTAAAGACCGTCGAATTAGAATCATTACAATTCATTCGATTTCACGGGAAAACGTGTGAAATATTGAAAAGATTTTTAGTATTTTAAATTTAGTATTAAAAGATCTCGTATTATAGTCACGTCAACAATTTATCGAACAAGTCACTGTGCATATTTCGATGTGAAAAATGCACTTCGAGTTGAGTTCATTAAAAGTATCCAAGTAGTTAAAAGAAGAAAAAAAAAAGTTGTTCGATAACACTTGGTAACCGTATTTGAAGTGAAAGCAGCGTATCGAAAAGCACTCATCTTTCCGCGTCTCATACGAGCTTGTTTAGGGAACTCGAATTCGAAACTTACTCGTCTTTTACTTTCTAGCAATGGTCTCTTATAACGTTGTTGTCGGCGACACGGTGACGAAAGTGCTAATAAGGGTAACAGGGATGAGCGAGACTAGCATTTTCGCTCATCGTCAAGTGGTCATCTTCTTTGCGACGCTATGCATCACTATACCGCTGTGTCTTTATAGAAACGTGGCTCGCCTAGCCAAGATCTCTTTCCTTTCGTTGGTCTGCGTCGGTTTCATTCTCTTGGCAATCTTGATTCGGATGGGTACGATGTCTGCAATTGTGTGAGTGGATTTCTAAATTTTCTTCTTCCATTCGAAGCTTCAAATTTTTCTTACGATTTTCACGTATTCTCTGTTTTCCTTTCTTTTTCCTTCGTTCTTTTAAAGTGGAGGGTACAGTTGAACATTATTAAACAATAAAAAGATACTAGAATATCTCCTGGATGTTTTCAGCTATTCAGAATTTTCTTCAGACAAGAGTATGTGCATGAAAAATAAATTTAAACACGAGCCCTACGTGCGTGGTGCAATGCAAATGAGCTGGGAGAGGAAACGAGGATTACAATTATATCGACACTTTTATTTCTCTTTTTCTCTCATCAGAGTTTCAATATTTACCATACTCTCGTGTAGAAATTTGTTGAAACATATTTATCATAAAAATTGGCGAGTGTTATCTCTATTCGTTTAACGTGATAAGAAAAAGAAACTGCAACATAAGCAGTGTTACTCTTGTTTTGCCAACTGTATCCTCCCTATTGAGATAAGCAGACGTAAGAGGATTAAACGTTGAATCGGTTCAATTTTCAGACCAAGCCAAGAAGATAGCTGGCGATTCGCAAATTTCCCCGGCATAATTCCATCCGTTGGAATTATGGCATTCGCCTTTATGTGCCATCATAATACATTCCTTATCTACGAGTCTATAGAGAGGGCTACCCAACAGAAATGGGACGTCGTCACCCATTGGTCACTATTCACCTCGTTCTTGATCGCTACAGCATTTGGAATTATTGGATACGCCACCTTTACTGCATACGTCCAGGGTGATCTTATGGAGAATTATTGCTGGGACGATGATCTGATGAATTTCGCGAGAGTCATGTTCAGTGGGACCATTCTTCTCACGTTCCCTATTGAATGCTTCGTTACGAGAGAGGTGAGACACTTTTTCCTTTTCATAATCTTTTTTCGCGAATTTTTAGGGTTACACTTTTAATAACCATTCGTCTCGTACAGAGTGTGTCGTCCTAAGAGTAGAACGTAAAGTATCTTTCAACGGTACGAAGAAATGTATTTAAAAACAATTTTTCTAAGAGGTTTCATTCAAAATTTATATCGAGCACAGTAAAATAATTTTTAATAGGTAATAAAGCTGTTTTTATATTGATTTAAAAGGATAGAAATTTCTTGCTTTGAACAACAATAAAATACAACGGTGAAGATGAAAATTACCGTGATTGAAGATGGCAAGGATACGAGGGGAATAGGGTGATAGAATGTCGTTGAATAATAGAGAGTGAATTGTGGAAAGGAAATGGGGGGACATGAATGGGGAAATCATGTAAATTGAAATGCATGTCGAGTATAATTGATAATACGAAGTGTAGCGGAGATGTTTGATGATAAGCCACTGAAATATTATCAAAGCAACTCGGTACCTTTGTCCAACACTGTACACTTGTTTCTATTCTCTTTTTCTCCGTTCGACGCGTTAAAATCTTCAATTAAAAGCGCGAATGTTTCAACTCGAATGGAAAGTTCAAAAATTATTTCGTTCAATTTTTAAGTATTAAAGAAATAATTATTTAAAAATTGAATTTACGCGCTACTGCTAAATGTAGCTGTAAACATAATCGTCCAGTCACTAGAAACCTGTTTAGCTTGACCATTAATAATTTCCTACGAGAATAAAAAAAAAAATCAATGATAACCCTTTCACGCAGAGCGTTCATCCCGTGAGAGAAAAAAAAAGCGATTTACAATTAATCGAGTTTAATAGCTGAGTAACACATCCAAGTTTCTTCTACTAACGTTGCAAAGTTTGCAACTTAATCACAGCAGCTGTAACGAGAAATGTTCTAAAGCGACAAACTAATTTCCCTTCACCGCATAACATTCACAATATCCAACTAAAGTGAACGAAGTCCTTGTAATTCTGTTTATTGCTACAACTAACTAAATTCCATTTCACTTGTACTATTTAAATTTCTGCCGGTTTCTTCGAATCATATTTTCCTTCGCCCAGTTTAAAGTCTTCACTTCGGACTTCCTATTGATTCTTATTATCCCGATTTAAGGTTCGAAAGCAATTAAAATGCGATAATTAGTTCATCGTTCAAATCTTAATAACAAACTTCACGCGAAGTAACCTAATTACCTCGATAGAAAATTCGCGAACTACTTTTAGAGATAATAATGCACACGGTAGAACAGATTTAAGCGTTGACGATAAATCTCGATCAGAGGAGGGCATTTTAAAGATCATGAAAAATTGAATAAAAAAAAAAAATTACAAACACCATTGCAAATCTTTGAAAGTCATTGCAAGTCACTTCTCGATATCAAGCAATGGTAACCTTCACTTACGAAATATTGATGCATAGTCCGGGTATTTTTCATTTTTTAATCAAACCTCGTGTAATCGTCAATTCACATTCACAAATGAATATCAGAAACCAACTAGTTTATACGGAAATGAAATTCTTTCTCCAGGTAATCCTGACAGCAATCAAAGGAACCGACGAACTGGAGGATCACACAGCTTACGTCCCGAACTCCGACCGGAAGTACTTGATAATCACACTGACGATAGTGTTGGTCGCTTACCTGATCTCGATGTCCACGGATTGTCTAGGGGTGGTCCTCGAATTGAACGGTATCCTCGCAGCTGTACCGTTAGCTTATGTTCTCCCTGGCCTGTGTTATCTCAAACTCGAAGAAGGACCAGTTCTCTCGCACAAGAAACTTCCTGCGCTCGGTTTGATGTCCGCTGGCGTGTTCGCCGCGGTCTCTGGCTTGCTGTTGCTGATACTGAACAGAGACACGTCCGGTTCCTGCGTGCACGGAAAGGTAATGCCGTATTGTATCGATAACTCGACCAGCACGAATTTCAATTCGAGCATCAGCGGTACCATTAGGCCGATGTAACTCGGGAGATCCCGTGTTGCTGCTCGAGAAACTCTGCGATATTTTTCTTTGGGGTAGGTACGTTTTTGTATGCTCCTTAAGTAAGTGGTTTTTTTTGGAGTCTGGGGAACGGAATCGTGCTTGTAAAAAAACAAAAGAAAAGAAACAGGAGAAAAATGTTTCAAGATTCTTTCTAGTCTTTCTTCCTTTTTCTTTTTTTCGTTTTGTATAATTGAAGAAATAGCAGCTCGACTTGGATTAACGAAAGAAAGAGTTCACAGGGAAATAAGTGGAAATGCTGTTACAGAGGTTAAGGAAGTAGGGATTACGCGTTAATTCAAATCGATATAGAGGACAAGTAAAAATTCTCTTCACCACATCTGACACTGTGTACATTTAGATATTAATGTTACGAGAATAGAAAGACGATGTTAGGGAGAGATTAAGCGACCGTGCTGATTAAGTGACGCTAGAATATGTTACGATACACGATGTACCTTGGAGATTTAAGAATGCAACTATCTGTTGAATTTCTCAGCACTTTATCTTGTTGAACGCGTGAAATCGAATATTTTTTAAACACCGAGGATTATAGACAATATTATAATGTACAACTTGCGTTGTGTAGGTTTCTTTCGATGCAAGAGATTCGTGAAACACGGAGTATTCGGTTGACTGATTGTACAATTGTACTACTAATTACGGAACACTCTGTATGTCTCGAAGATGTGAATAACGATGATTGCTAACTAGCTTTGCTGGTAATTTCCATACTTTCAAGAATGAGCTGAACAAATTTCAATCTCTGTATAATAATTTAAGTTCGTCAATTTTATACAATCGTTCGACTATTTTTTTATGGCCTATTATGTTTTCTTCGAACGTATTACTTTTCTGACAGATCGATATTTACATTCAGTTCCTGCTATAACGATTGTGACGAAAGATTGACAGCCTTTTTTTTTTCTAGAATAATTAATTAATCGATAAGGACAGTTAACTTTCAGCTCTTTTTCTTTGGAGTTTTTGCGTACCTGGATGAAAACTTGTATAAAGTACGTACAATTGATAGGGCGTATAAGTGACATTACAATTGCCAATACGAAACTTAATTACGATCAGGAAGTTGAACGACTAAAACTGATTTATTCACGTTCATTTCGTTTCCTTTTTAAAACCCACGCAAATCAAATACACAGAATACAAAGAGGCTGTTATGAAATTAATTGCAAACGTTCTATTCAATTAGCTGCAGTGAAACGTGTTATTTAGCGGTGTCAATGTAAAGGTGTTTTACCGACACGTTAGATTTTCTACTTAAATTTAAACGCATATAGTGTTTATTGATAAATATAGCTGCCAATAAATTACTACTCTAATAGAGTCACCAAAACCTCCTTTCAATTAATTACTTTATTTACGAGGAGAGACGTCGATGACACCTATTTTGTTGACATGAAAATTAGACGAATTTAAAAAGGGGAAAGAGAAATTTATTTGTGCGACGATCGTTGTTGAATCCAGCGAGGAAGCAAGAGTATCGAATAGATAACGAGAATTCTGTTATTCTCTTTTGACGATGAGTTGATACATATATATTATATAAATAAATAATGGAACTAGCCGTGTACCATTGAGAGAAGAAAACATTATTTCCATGGGATATCAACTCGATGTAACCAGAAATATTGTTTGTCGATAAGAACAATACTTACTATGATTAAATGATGAATAATATTAAGCTGTTACGACACTATTTTTCGAATCTTTATCATAGGAGCATATTATGAAATAAAGGGTAGTATACCAAGATTTTGTATTAAAAAAAAATTATACCGCATAATGGCTTCGCAATCGATATTGCATAACAAGTGTTTCGTACCGTGAAATGTTTCGTTTGATTGCAAATTATTCGACAGTTAAAAATACTTTTCTTCGTACACTTTGTTTATTACCTAGCCATACCACATTGCTGCTAATTGCCAATTTAGAGGTACATTTTGAACAAGCGTTTTTTTTTTTTAATACGAAATCACACTGTTTGCTTTCTGAGAGAGTTTAGATGTAATAGAATAATAGTATATACAGGATGTTTCATAGGATATAATGCAATTAGAGAAAAATAGGTGTTTAAAAATCTAAAATAAGATAACGTTTTGAATTATTTTATTAAATTTTAAAATTACATTCTGGTAACTTTTTTTTGGCATTTTCTATCTCTTTCAATATTTCCTATGCGTTTTATTCGGTAAATTTTCCATAGTACGAACGTTAAACAAACGAGGTTGTCTTATTTGCTGAAATTTTACAAAAAAGTTATCTTCTTTTAGACATGAAAATACCTTATTTTTCTTTTTACATTAAATTCTAAGAAGTGCAACGTATTAGGCCTAATAAGTATTAATTATAATAAATGAAAGCTAACATGTAGAACGGGATAAAAAAGAAAAAAAAAACAATCAGAGACCACGATAACGAAAGTATTTAATGAAAATTGATAAGAAAATTAATTATTTAAATTACGCTCCAGTTGAAGTCTTTATGATATTATAAAGAATTCGCCCAAAAACTACCGGGTGTCCGTAAATTTGTATATAATATGTATATGTGTGTATTTATGTGTATTTCACTTTCTGCCTATCTATATAGATTATACATATAACGAAGTATCGTGGTGTAAACGAAAGTATTACATCTTACAATGTTGATACACTTATTTGAAGTAGTATTCTTTGTTATACCTTGAAATTGCAATTGCAATGTGCGTACTATTGTATAAAAGGACAAAATATTTCTACTCTTATATAAGTTATTCTAATACATTATTAAAAATAAATTAATTTTGTTTTCAATTCTTTTCTTTTTTTTTTTCTCTATCTGCGGGGACAAATTTTTAAGAGGTGTAATACTTTCATTTATGCTAACACATTAGACCACGTATTTTGAGAAACGAGCTAATACGAAAGACGATTTTTTCGATCATAAACTCTAGACGAACTTTTTACATTGTTCTGATGGATAGAAAATGTTCTTAAATTAAGGTCCACGATTTTTATTGACACTTTACATACACACACACGCGCGCGCGCGCACACACATACAAAATTTTGGCAAAACACGGACAACATAAGAAACTAGATTGTCAAGTATTAAGGAGTTTGTATAGTACGTTAAGATCCCATAAGCTTAAGAATTTCCGGGAAACTCTTTTAACATATAAAACTCGCCAAAATTCATAGTAGCTATACACATTTGCCAAAATTCATAGAATAGTGTATTCTTAAAGGTGAAATTTCCATAGATTTTCTTTTTGTCAGAAAAAAGTGAATAACTTTAAAAATCGATATTAATTTTTAATTCGATAAAAATGATTCTATTCTAACTGTATTAAAAGAAAGATTTTGAAAATTTAAATTAAGTTCAATTAAAGTTAAATTCCTCCCACTTTACGCATGTTCTTCGAGACATTGAATGTATTACTGATGCCTTGGAAAAATAGCGTACTACAAATGAAAGCATTGTACTTAAAGATATAATACTCATTAGATAGTAAACTCACTAACAAAAGAGAAATTACTGCACAAGAGGCTAACGTATATTCTACGGACACTCGGTATTTTTTTATGTAATCAAAACAGTGTAAGATTAGAAGTTAAAGTATATGTGCAACGTAAAGCAACAAGAAAACAAAGAGAGCAGTCATTATTGACAATCGCATTGCAGACCAACAACTATAAGAGAAAGACGTAAAACATGAAATGATAATTTAAAATCTCAAAATGGAAAGTTGAATTATATAGAAAATTAACTTTTTGAACAAAAAAAAAGAAAAAAAAAAGAAACGGGTTCCTAATTCTCCTAATAATCGCAGTCTTTCGTTTATAGTCGTGATAAATATATTTCTATGATTGCTTCGCTCTATTTGCACAGAAAGAAGTAAACAAATTTTTACATACGCCGTCTATTTTTCAATCACTTGTTTGTGTAGTTATAAAACTAAATCTAACGAATGATCAATGTTACCTACAAAAGAAAAAGAAGAAAAATTTCAGTCTATTTTGAATCGAGTATTCTCCATGTGATTTGAACGTTTTAAATGATCGATAATTATTCCATCGCGATGAATGAGTTTTGCAGGCGTTCCTTTTATAAGACCATTGTCTATTTCTTCCGAGAAATCCATTTTTCTAACGTTTAAATATTTTTTTAATAACGTAAAAATGATGCACAAAGTAAGTTTCACCAAATAAATTGTACATAGTCCATATTCTTTCTTCTGATATAAGAATACAGTGCAATAATCGATTGTGATCTAACCCGTTGGATATAGAATACTTCTTGGAATATATGTACATATATTTTTCCTTGTGAAGACTAGGACAATGTTTCAGACAACAGATGCTTTATTTTTTAAGACAGTAAGCAGAGATTTATTATTGTTCACAAGACTACGATATAGATATATTGGAATCTAACGGGTTATGAACGATGTTAATAACATACCTAAGATTGTTCTATTATTCGTTATGAACTGTTTATCGTTGAGCAGATGGAAACTTCCGTTGAAGCCGGAACGAGTAATCAGTAGCAGACGTAGTGTTGAAAAATTGAAGAAACAATTGGTCAGTAGTTTTAAATTTTCGAGCACTATCTGCTTTAAAATAAAATTGTATTTGTATAAAATTAAAAGAAGTATAATATTACATATAGAAGTGTAGAAAAAATTAATTTAATTTTGTTTTCAAAATTGTTCAAAATATAAAGGAAAAATAATGATATATTGAATGAAAGTAAATACAAATTTCATGACAATTGCTTCGCGTAAAATTCTGAAGGTAATACCATTGTAATTTAGAAGCTTGTTTCAGTCAAGTTTTATTAATCTGTGTCTACTTTTTATCGTGTTTCTTGATTTAATGTATTTTGCGAGTAAAAGCAACCTGCGTGCATAACCGTAAAATTTGACGCGTGCGCAATTAACTTTAATTTGAAAATATAACCTTTTTATTGCGCAGCACATATTGTAAAATATAATTTACAATACTAATTAATTTAGAATAATTTTATTGAAATAACTAATTTTTAGTACATACCTATTAATTATAATTCGAAATTGTAAAGGAACGTAATATTGAAAAGTTAAAAAAAAAGAAGAAACGAAGCTTCTAATTTAAACTTTGCTCCTATGAAAGGTGCATTATAATTGTCGCCAGAAAATCTTTGAATAAATGCAACTGTATTTACTCTGTGATACATGTACAGACAGTGTACTTAAATATGTTTCATTGAAACATGTCTATACTTAAAATGCTCTATTGTAACGTTGATTGGACTTGAGAAATAAATTCGAACAATAAAAAGATGAAATGTTTAAAACCATAGTAAAACGTTTTGCACCTCTCCTTCCTTAATGCCAATTTTCATTCTTGCTGTTACATTTTCTTAATTTCATTATTTCACTTCGGGAAAACTATCGCAATATAAAGGCAGCATGCACATACTTATACATATATTCTTGCGTGTTTGTTCAGTACACGCATGTACGCGTCATCGTAGCATCTTAGTTGACATGTAATATATAATCTGCAAACGTACATTCCGTATTTTTTTAATAGATATAAATAAGTGTTAAATAATGTAAATGTATCATTACAATATACACGAACATATGTAATTGTTAATTAAACAATATAAAGGGTAAAGTGTAATTGTGATGTGACTTTCTGAATGTTCCTGTTTTAATAATGATTTATTAACTCTTGTTATAGAACTTAAATGGAGGTTAAGGAAACGATAAAACATTGCGGAACGAGTAATGTAACAAAATATTATTGAAATAATAAAATATGAAGTAATCGGTAACGAAATCATTTTAATAATTTCTTCACCAATTTATATTTTTTCCTTTCGTTTCTTACAATATCGTATTAAAATCAATTTATTACAAAATGAGTACATTAACATTAATTATCATAGTTTAATTATCGTAGTTTGGAGAATTTCAAAGCTAAAGCAATTTGTTTATGAATTATTCAAAACATTGCACTACTACGTATTTACATCTTGATATTAATTATGTTTTCTATCATACTTTTTGTATAAATACAATTAATTTTATAGTACTCCTTTAAATTTCAATTATGAATAAATTGTTAAGATTTGTTATACCATCCATCAAGATGTTTAAATAGTTTTTAATTACAAATATACCGAGTAACAAAAATGTCAAAAACATCCTCAGTTTTCGAGGAGGGGAGTCCGAGACAGCTTCATTTCTAAATGCATTAAAATGGAAGTTTCGAAAAACGAGCAGTTAGTTGACACGTATGAGAAAATATATGGAGATGAATGCCGAATTTGTTTAAAGAGAGCTGCTGAAATATGTGAACTTTTTAGAAATGGGGACGCTATTTCTCGCAAACTTATGGCCGTTGCTTCTGTACAGGTTAGTTTGTAACTCTTTTTACGATAATAACACAGTAAAAAACAATTTATTCCAATTTTATTCTTTTTGTTTGCAAGTTATTTCAATGTTAATATTGCATATCTTTCGTGCTTTTTAAAGAAGTTTTTAGGATCAACATGACCTATGTTAACTATTAATGACTGAAGCAAACAAGATTGTTAAAAGTGAATTTAAAATTTTGAAAAATTCAAAGGAATTAGAACTTATTACATTTTTAATAGGTTTAATATTCTGAATTTGTATTTCTTCAATTGTTTTGTTATCAATAAAGTATTTGTGTACTAATAAAAAGGTTTATTATTGTAATTATTATAGTGTTTGTTCTTACCTATTATTTTTGCAAATTCAAATATTCAAAGTTTAAGTTTTAATATAATAACATAGTATCTCTAAAAATTATGTTGTTTATGTATATAAATAATCTATTAGAGTTATGTATAGCTTTGTAAAATGTTTATTAAGATTTAAAATATGAAAACAAAAATAATACATGTTTATTTTTCTTAGGTTGAAGAAGGGGATGGTTTACCTCCAGTGATCTGTTTGCCTTGTAATCAGCGTTTGGATGCATCTTATGATTTTAAATGTCAGATACAAGATTCAGATGAAAAACTTCGTCAGGTTCTGAAACTAAAATCCTCTGCTAATGATTCTGTTACTAGTGCCAGTATAGTCACAGCAATAATTGCTGATATGATATCTAGTGTAATATCTTCTGAAAAGGAGAATACAGAAAAGCAAGAAGTTTGTTCAACAAATTTTTGTCCTGATAATTTTTGTTTCATAAAAGATGAGACCTCTTTTTGTCTCAATTCAGAAAAGAACTTGTTTTGTTATGACAAAGAACCACAGAGTCAATTAAATAACACAGAAGAAAAAAGAAGTCAGGATAATGTAAATGTTTATAAAAGTTTATTAGAGGATGATTCTGTAAGACAAATTAATTCAATTAAACAAGAAGGTTTGCCTTTATTGGAGGAACATGTAGTGCAAAATAAAGATATCTCATTAAAGGTTGAAGTAAATGATGCATCAGAAAATCAACAAATGTTAGAAGAGACAATAAAAACAGATGGTATTCAAGATGATGAAGAAAAACCACTAATTTCACGCACAATTAGATTTCGCTGTACACAGTGTATTAAATCTTTTCATACAAAAGTGGCCTTGCAGAGACATGCCATTGTACATAAACGTAAAACTAAATTACGTTATGTTTGTTATGTTTGTGATAAACAGTATTCAACCCTTGCAAAAGTAAAAAATCATGTAGCAATTTGTCATGAGTCTCATGACAGAAAAGAAAATATTCAAGATAAAAGAATTAATTATGAGCAAGGGAAAGGAATTGCAAATGTACAAGATAAAAGGATTAATAATATTCAAGTAAGTGTTTAAATTTCATTTTAAGTAAATTTTGACTATGGTAAAAACATGCTAATATTGTGATTATCCTGAAGTTTTGGCAGGGAAATTTCTTTTACCATGTTCTTATATATTGTTATAATTATTACATTGTTTATACTAATATAATTTATATTACTATTTTAGGACAAAAGAATAAAAATTCAAAAAAATGATGACTCTTGTAAAGAACAACGAAAAAGCCTAAAATTTACATGTAAAGTTTGTTCAAAACAATTTACTTATCAAAAGTCTTTTATTACTCATGCTAAAAGTCATCCAGAGTATAAATCAGAAGAGTTGGATGATTCTTCACAATGTTCAGCAAAAGAAAGATCCACAGAAATGGTTGAAGAAGAAGAAGAACAAAAAGAAATCTTAAAAGGCATGTTTCCACACATAGTGGGTTAAAGTACACTTGTGGAACATGTGGTAAAGGATTTTCAAGAGTGGATAAATTAAAAGATCATGAACAATCAAAACATAAGGCTGAAATTTTTGAAAACTCTGATTTGGATGATAAAGATGACATGGACAATAAAGGAGACTGTTTAGAAGGAAGAAAAAAAGTATGTTATTTGAACTTTTGGCAACATTTAAATCAAGATATTTCTGTAATTTTTATTCAGATCTAAGCTTAAAATTTGCATACTTTGATTTACTCAAAAATTCATTACTATTTCAGGATCGTCACAATAGACCACATAAATGTGTAATCTGCCCTAAATCTTTTGCGCAGGCGCAGTCCCTAGCAAATCATATAGAACGTCACAAACGTGTTAAAGAAACTCAAAAAAGGTTTCTTTGTGAAGTCTGCAGTAAATGTTTTGCACAGAGTGGTTCCTTGGTTGCGCATATGCGAACACATACAGGAGTTAAACCTTATGTTTGTAACGTGTGTAGTAGGGCTTTTACAAAGAGCACTTATTTGCAATTGCATCTACGTACGCATAGTGGAGAAAAACCATATATTTGTCAGTATTGTAGCAGAGCCTTTGCACGTGCGAATACATTGGCACGTCATATAACGATGCACACAGGAGAAGCGAAATATCATTGTCAGATTTGTACAAAATCATTTAGAAGACTGACTTCACTGAATGAACACACTTACACACATACTGGTCAGAGACCATACGCTTGCAAAATTTGTACAAAAAGATATAATAATGCTGGGTCACTTTATGCACATAGAAAGAAGTGCAAGGCACAGCAGCTATCTAATACTGGATTTGCGGTTTCTGTGGAAAACTCTGTGCCGCAACAAGATATAAATGTTCCGCAAGTTTTGATTTATTCACAGAGGAAGTTAGTCGAGGATGCGACTGTTGGGCAAATCACACCTACGCCACAGTACATGATCGCAAATATACACAATCAAAAGAGCCTGGGATCAAATATTATCCAGCCTTTTACAGTGGATGATCCAAATGTTTATACAATTAATTCAAAGCAATTTAAGAGTCCCTATTATGCGATTTATCCAAACATGTAAAATAACGTGTGCGGGAGATTTATTAAAGAATGCCTTTTTTAGAGTTACTTATGTGTTTTTTGTCATTAATTAAAAAGCTAATAAATACAAATCTGAAGATGTAATAAGTGCTCTAAAGTAAGTGTTGAAACAGGTAAGTAAATAAATAGAAAATAAAAATATATGCCAAATTTAAAAAAAAGTATTCTAATCACGGATGCTTATAGTAACTAACATTTAATATCTTTCATCGGAAAAAATTTTAATGCCCGATGTTATAAGAAAATAATTTAATTCTTATGGAAATAATATTAATGAATTTAACTATGGTTCTATAAATAATAATTTCAAGATATAATTATACTTAATATAAAGATATTGCAATATATATAAACAATTAATAGGATTTTTACGAAATGTACGATAATACCTTCGTTTTATAACGATAAATACTTTCATGTAACACATTCTTAATGTTTGGTAATGGTGATCACATCATTTTAATTATAAGGTTTATTCTTCTTTGTGAAGGGAGCTTGTATCATCATCTAATGTGTTTTTCTTTGGAACCTGTGGAATTTCCGCTAGTTTCAAATTTGGTGAGCTTCTCGTACAAGGCAATACTTCTTCAGCGGTTAATATATCATCCGTTGTTCTTTTCTTACTAGTTCTCATAAGCTGTTTCCATTGAATCCCTTTCTTTTTAGTCAGTCCCATTGATTTATGTCTTCTAACAAGAAACTTGGGACTTCTACTTTTTGGTATTGTTGTTTCTGTCGGAGCTGGTGTATATATTTTTGGCAGTGATAAGTGACACATGGGCGAGTGTCGGCATTGTGACTGGCACGTATCCGAATATGGACTGTCTTGTGGATTTACATCGGATGGGTGTACACTTTCGAAATCGTATTGTCCCTCAATTTCTGGAGAATGTTCTGAACTACACGTTTCAACCGAATGTCGACGCATAAGTCTTGTACTATACTCTTTCCATGGATTTATATTACCAGTGTATACTGTAGGTGTATCGACAATTTGTCTCACAGGTTGCGATAAACTGGACGTACTCGACGAAGTTTGTAGAACTATCTTAGGGCTTTTTGTTAGCGTGAAAAATGGTTTCCGAGCTGAATCGACTCGTGGCACCGAATGCCTTCCTAGAGATGAAATTCTTTTCACAGCCTCCGTTATGATTTTTGGTCGTTGTACTGTTTGGTCGGTTTCAGGTTCTTGAATATCAAATTGTAAAATTGTCTCCGAATAAGCTTGATCAGTGATCGTAGATGTTTCAGGGCATGAGTTGATCTGGCTGAAACAAACGAGTCTAACTTAATAAGATACTATTGCCTAAAATGTTTCTTTTTACCTAATTTTAAAATCTAACATTTTTTAATTTTTTTTAAATAGTTTAATTATTTATTCATCAGCTGCCTAGTTTTATTCTAGTAAATTATTTTTTGTCTATAAAGTATTAAAAATATTTATTAGAGTACGTATTTATCCATAATCTTACCGCCTTTCACACAGCGGGCTATCATTGTTATGAGTAGCTAAACTCATGGTTGATGTGTGCAGTGAGGGTTTTATGTCTTCTTCATCCTCTTCCATAACATCTGGTAGGAACATAGTTTGCTGTTCCTCAGGAACTCTGTAAATATTAATACACGAATATCGTGTTCGAAGTTACATTCTTGCATAATAATTTGCGCGCATTAACTTTGATAACAAACGATTCTTTAAGAATACTAACGTCATATTTGCCACACTTCCACGATACGTTTTCTTTTTATAAGCCGCTGCTGCTTCTGTGTACGGCAAAATTAGATTCTCAGCGTCAAAGTAAATGTCTTTGACCAACGGTGGACATCGATTCATAAGGGTATCAACTCCAAGATATGATACCTAAAATATAGAAAAAAGAAGAACAATAAAATTATATAATTTTCAAACATTGAGGAAAACATATAGAAGAGAGGAAATTTCAATCACCTTTGTATGGCGATCAATTATCCAATTTAATTCAAAATCCTCATCATCATCGCCAAAAGGATTAATTAATTGTTCTGCTACCTATCGAAATGTTATTATTACATTTTAAATTTATTACTGTTTATATTTCTGTACGTTACGACAAAATTATAGATACCTTTAACAAACCCATGAAAAAGAAGAATTGCAAGATCGTAAAAACAGGTACGTAAACGTCAATTTGTAGCTGGAATTGTTTTTCAGTGCCGTCGATGTATTGGCGAGCCATTAAAGCCACGGCAAAGAAACTGTATGTTGCTAGTGTTACCACTTGCGTGTAAACTAATGGAATTGATATCCAATCGTAGCTCCATAAGAGACCACATTTTGTGCGAAATTCGTTAAATTCCTGCAACAATAACTACCTTTAATTCAAATAACATTATTTTGACTTATTAATATGATCTGTATTAAATAAATTGTGGCTATTTTTTTTATATAGCATTATGCGAACCTCCATAATTAATTTTAATCCCTGAGGATCGGGAATTCTGTGATATTGGCGTGCTTCTTTTAGAAGATTGATGAACCATGTGCATGGTATCCAATATGTATTGAATTCTAAACTTGGTACTGCCAAAAACAATTCCAACTCTAATGATGTCATAAAACCTACAAAGTGATATTTACGCTGTCAGTATAATATCTTTTCAAGTGTATTCAATTAAAAAAGGATTCACCTTCATTAAAACAAGTTTTTAGTCCAAATTTTAATAGTTATAATTTCTTATTTTCGCTTGTAAGGATTTTTTGTTATTGGTCGTTTCATCATAGGTTCTGCCTTGTTAGTCTTTCCCCAGTGTGAGTAAATATTCGTAAATTCTTATAGGGGCGTATACCATGGGTTAAAATTAGTACGTTCATGTTAAAAGAAAACTTTACCAGAATCAACAACGTGATCGAGTGTTGGGAAACGTTTTTTCACAGCTGAACTGATCGAACGTAATACAAGTATTAAGGAAAGATTTAAGTAGCGCATCAGATTTCTTCGAATCATACGACCGTACTCATCGTTTCCGGTAAGATATAACGCAATTAAATGCATCACCCTGACGAGAGAAATTAGCAGAATTAGACATTGTACTGTTCAAATCAGAAATTTCTATTCAAAACTCACTTATCAGGCCAAGGTATAGCTTGATATTGTTGCCACCACCTTTGAGCAACGTAAGACACATAAAATCCAAGAACGAAACTTAATGGAATTAAATTTATAAAATTATCGCAGTAAATAACAACCTGTTCGAAATCTCTGAAAATAAAATAGTACATTTAAATAATTAATTTTTCGTGCTAATTTTTAGTAAACGATAATTAATGATAGTTAATGATAATATATAGATAATTAATGAATTTCGTTTATACGATTTGACCCCATCACTGTTAGTAGGATGCATATTCAGCAAGAATTAAATTGCGAACTTTTTCTGCGCAGAACTAAGTACGTGACGGTAAATAGTGGAGAGTGCAGCAAAGAGGATTAGAAATAAGAACAGTTCTCTATAGATAAGTTTGTAGAGTGAGCCTTTCCACATAAAAAGAAGCCTGGTGAATCCACCTCTGGTGGAGTTTGCGACTTGATACTGGTACGAGACCGTCATCTTTTCTTCGTTCAGTACTTGTCAGTTTCGTAGCGAAAGTAACTTTGTCGTAACAATAGTAATTTCTTTCTTTTCATCGTTACTGTAAGCTTCGCCCTTCTAAATCTAATATAAAAATAAAAGAAATATCGAAGTTTGAATTGTCACAAGATTTTGCATAATTTTTGTATTATTTTTAGTCAAATAGATATAATACCTCAGGCGTGGCGGAATGAATCAGTGATGAAATAAAGCATCTTCTTGGTTTAATGTAACAATTTCTATTGACTCGATCTATTTATAACTGTTTGTTCAGTAGAAAAATTACTGATTTGAAATCCATTGTAGATCTCTGTGAACAAACGAATAGAATATTTAAATATGTAAAATTTACATCGATCTACAAATATCTTAATTCTCATTCAAAAATTTTCAAATTAAAGTGTTTCAATTTACTTTACAAGCAGTACTATTTTCTTTTTCTGTTTTAAAAAGCTAATCACTTTAACGAATTTCAATATATCGAAAATATTTGCATACGAAATGAATATATTTTTATTTGTCGCTTGAATTTCAATCGCGCGTAAGCAAAAAAGCCTTGTAACGTGATGAAGCGTAAACTTGCCATCGTATGAAGATGTTAATGCAAGAAATTGGAACAGCTGTTACACTGTAAGCAGTACGTCATTGTTAATGCGCAAGAATCATCAGTCGGGAAGTGTCTGAACGGTTTTTTGGTCTATGCACCGTAAATAATGCCGAGTAGTTTTGGGAGTCGCGCCAGCATGCAGCGACGTCGTTAAATATAACTTGGAACATCAGAATAACTGCTGTCCGAGTAAACATACGATTTGCATGAGGTGCTACAGCATGCCACAATTGCAATTCTAGATTGAATACTATCTACCGACGCGTCACTGGTTCACGGAAGTGGTCTTTCATTTTCATGACATCTTTAACAAAATTATTAGAAGCTTCACTCAGCGTTAAAGTCACTCGTGTGTATACAAGGTGGTACCTTATTTCGAGCTACTCCTACAACATATGTTTTACAATCTGTCCAAGCGTATATACTTCTTTTTCACGCAAAAAAACATTCTTCAAAATGTTTGTATAGTTTGTGTTACTTTATCCTTTTGAATTAATTTTCGATCTCGATGTTATATCTGAAATCTGCAAGTGATAAATACAAGTGTAAATTTTTGACACAATCGTTTGTCAACGTTAAACGTTCATAGTAATATCAGCTAATATACAGTTACGGATTTTCTAATTTTTACGGAAGTAAGTTATTTGATGTTCGAGAAATTGAATAGTATTTGTGTATTATACCTGGATAGTGAGATTGAGGAATTTAGAAAAAGGCTAGTTGATCGTTTTGATTCCCGTGCGGCTCGTATAGCTGTTTCATCGTCGTGATTATTTGATGAAGAAGTTAGTACAAACATTCATGCAGTCGTTACTTGTTATAAAATCGTTTTTTTTAACCGAGTTATTTCAGTCGACATTCATCGTTGCTGTAATCAAAAGCATCATTTTGTTTGCCAGTTCTGTACTGTTCTTAATGACACGTGCGCGCGAAGCGTCATCATTCTGTCTAACAGATCGTCTGACGGCCGCTCGATGCTCCTCGAGGGAGCAGTCTAAAAATATGTTAGAAAGAAGCACGCGACATTGGCCGAACTATGAAATGCTTCCGTTCAGATTTTAATGTAACAATATAGATTAAGTCAGTTAAAACTAACTCAAAGCGGTTTTATCTACATTGACAATCTGTTCAAGTGACTATAAAGAAACATACAATTAGTGAGAATTATTAAGATAGAAAGCAACAACATGTATATAGCGAAAGAAATACAAGCGAGCGTAGGAAATGATTAAAAAAAAAAAAAATTCATAAGTACCTAACCTCTATAATCAAAGTATAAATTCCTGTATAAATTTATCGATTGCGACAGTTTTCAAAGCTACTTGCGCTATAAGCTGCTTTTAGATTTACCAAGAGTATATTTGAAATTGCAATATCGAAAGACGCAAATAAATTTCAACTCGTTACATTTTACATTTGTTTATTTCAATATAAAAAGAAATTGACGCATTTTCATTATTATTTCGATTTAAGATATAATACATTGTCATCAAATATATCTCACCTTGCAAAGCTCCATTTGATTTACGTAAGCCAAACGTTCTGCTAATCATGATATTATATCAAACGTTACGTTTAAATTCATTAAAAGGAATAATTCTTTGCGTCAATTGAAGTAATTACCAACATTTAATTCTATCTATCAGCATTAAAAGTCACTAGTTTTCAAATCTATCGAAATTAATTCTAATATTTTTCTATTTTATTTGGCAATCATTTATAGACTAAATGTCTAATACTCTGTGTTCAATAAAATATGTTTTATATAAAAAGTACACAATTTTGCTTTTAATAACTTAACTTTTTGAAGTTAAGGTTTACGAATGCTGTGCATACGCTGTATGCGCAGGGTAGGTGCACTTTTTAAGTATATTCAGTGAACGCCTATAAGTGTTCATCACACGCGTTTCACTGATTTACCGACTGCATGTAAGTATTTGAAAAACTTTTAAGGGGTTAAATTCGCGAACAATTTGTTAAACCAGTTGAAATATTATAACACAATTCCACAGTTGCATTACAATTTGATTAAACGTCACATCACTGTTTCGATGAAAATTTCTTATTGTATAGACACCCCCGATATAAACAATATTTGATCGACCGCAGGCACAGATATGCTCTCGAGGCTAGTTAGCTGTAAACTGCTTCGCTAAGAAAATCCGCATCGTCATTGCTACTGTTAACATTGAAACTGGTCAATTCTGATCTGATGGCAGATGCCCAAATCTAAAAGGGGTCGAATGTCAAATTCGTGTTAGGCATTGTGAATTCACACCTGTCTTCGATAAATTTATTCTAACTTAATCGCATTTATTTTTTGAAAAAATGTAATATCTTTTAACTTAGTTATTCTTAATGATTTCGTTAGATAGTAATAGATGTGTTAATGGATTTTATACCCATAAAAAGAAATTTTGTTTGAAATTAATTATTAGTTCATATTTTTATGTATTCAATAATGTTGTTCACATAAGAGGTATAAAAAAAAGAGTAGGATTTAGTATGAAAACATGTTTTCCTATAAAATTAAAAATATGTTAAATTTTATAATGTGAAGGTTAAAATTGAAGTCTATATAAATAATGAAATATAAATTAATTTCTCCACTTACAAATAACTTCTTTAAAGTCGTAGCGAATAAAAACAAAATTAATTTTTGTGAGATCGTTGCAAATCAACTACCTTTATCACTTATTTGTACTATTTTCATTACAAATTTACGAATAAAATATATAAATTAAATAAAATCTGATATTTAAACTTCCTATCAATATCAGTTAATTCCAAGATTTTCCGGTACGTAGCACTAGTATCGAAAAACATTTCGAAATTTGTTGAAATTGTTCTAGATCCTTATATTACAATAAAAAACTGATTACTAACAATATTAAAAGCTTCTAAACAAAAAATTGATTAAGTGAAAAACTAGTTTAATGTGTATAAGTTTGTTAAAAAAATTGTACTCGCGTGACAGAACATAATAATTTTTATATCGAATTGTATAAGTTTCCTACAGTATTAATGTTTTTGTAGATATACATTGATATAATATGTAAAATAGCCGAAAATTGTAATAAAATAGGATACAAATCGTGGAATTACTGTTTTCTTGTCTTCTCTAAAAAGCGTATAACATAACCTAAATTTACATGTTGCTTTACTTTATCAGTTTAAATACAACTATACAAAATGAGTAAATCAATTTTAATGCAAAAGCAAGTGAAGGATAATGCGGAAGATTTACAGAAAGAATTTCTTGATATGAAGAATTGGGAAGAACAAATGAAGCAGAAAGATGAGGAATTGAGGAAAGAAACAAGTAATCATAGTCAGGTATGAGTTAAGATTAGTGATAGTTATTAGTAAAGATGTTTCATTTTCATAAGTATAAGTTTTTATAGATCACTTTACCACCAATCAGAAGCAATCATAAAAATAAGATAAAACATATTCTTACAAAGCAAAATGGAAGTGACAATAAATCAAAAAGAATTAAGTCATTGGATTATTTGTCTTGGGAGAAATTTGATGTGGTAAGTATTGCTGCATTATAGAAGTTACATCATGTATACTTTTATATCAAATTTAATAAAACTTGGCAACATTAATATAATTTATAATATTGTTTTAAAGAATAAAGCATGTAAAGATGTAGAAAAGGAGCAACAATCAGATGAGTCTGAAGATGAAAAAATGTCTAAAAAAGAATTAGAGAAAGCATATCAAGAAGCAACAAAACATAAAGATGAAGGAAATACTTTTGTGAAGCAACAAAAATGGTCTAAAGCAGTTGAGTGCTATAGTGAAGCTATAAAAATTTTTGCATATGATGCTATATTTTATGCAAATCGTGCACTTTGCCAATTAAAACTAAATAAGTATATACACATTTCAATTATATTTAAAAACTGGAATAAAAGTTCTTTAATGATATTGAAATGCTCTATTTTTTTTTTGTAGTTTCTTTTCTGCTGAATCAGATTGTTCTGCAGCAATACAATTGGATGAAAATTATGTGAAAGCTTATCACAGAAGAGCAACAGCTAGAATGAATTTGAAACAATATAAAGAGGCCAAACAGGATTTGGAAAAAGTTCTAAAATTAGACTCTTTCAATAAGGAAGCCAAGTCACTGCTTACTCAAATTGAAAATAAGATTAAATGTTTAGAGGTAATTAATAAGCAGTAGTTAAAGTTCAATACTTATTAGTTGAGACTATTTATGTGCATTATTTAATACTGCTACTTACATAGGCATCTACTATAGAAAAAGAAGTTGCAAAGAAATCACCTGAAAAGTTAACAATTCAAAAAAGAACTGATGAAAAATTACGGGATAAGATTATATCAAAGGCACAAGAAATAGATGCTAAAAATCTTAAAGACACTAAACACACTGAAGAGAGTAAAAATATTATACAAAACAAAAACACTGAAGAAGGTGTAAAAGATAATGTAAAAGAGGTAATTTTAGAAAAGAAAAGAGGTCCACGTATTCCCGATTGGTTACCAGAGAAAGATGATGTTATTGTAATAGAACCTATTGAAAAACCTCCTCATTTACGTTCAAAGGTAAGATACATTGTTGCTTTAGAATCTATATTATTGGATGTTTAAAATGCTTATTATTTATAGAAACCATTGACAAAAATTCCTGTTGAAGAAGTGGAATTTAATACTTTCCAATATAATGATAAGGTAGTATATAATAAAAATGAACCTGCACAGAAAGAAGACGTCATTAAAGATAATCTTGTAACGAATAATAGTATCGTTAAAATTTGCGAGCATCCAGAAGATATTAGCAATATACCTCCAGTTCCTAAAACAGCTGTACAATTTTTGATGAATTGGAAAAAGAATAAGTCATTAGAATATAAATATAAATATTTGAAGGTAAGAAAGATCTTTCAAAATTTGGAATTTTTTAATAATGAAGGCATGCAGTCTAATTGAATCAGCGAATCAAATTTCAGCAAGTACCTGAGAACAGTTTACCTAAAATATTTCAAGAGTCAATGGAATCCGACATTTTTAGCGAAATATTAAAAGTTTTGAGAACAGAATTTATAAAGAGGAAAGACCCTGTATTTTACTATTTAAAAGATCTCAGTGAAGTTAAACGATTTAGGGCGCTTATTATGTTTATTAGCAATAGTGAAAAAGAAAGTAAGTATTATTGTACATAATTTAAAATATTTTAAAGAACAAGTAATAATACTTCTTTTAAATTCATTTATTATTAATTTTTAGGTTTAAGGATACTTTTTGAATATTGTAAAACAGTTGAAAATGTATCCCAAGATAAGATTTCAACTTTACAAAAGAAATACGAAATTTAAAAATGGATTAATATTATTTAATTTGGACATAAATATTTTTAAGTAATATTAAGTCATGTATTTTGTATAAATGTTCCTATTTGAATCAATATAAATAACCAAGCGAAAATTATTAGATCGTTATTCAAATATTTCTGCTTTATTACATTTTTCATTGTGTATCTCATTGTTATACATATGTACACTTAAATACTTCAGTTGAATTAAATAGAAATTTGAA